ATATTAAATGGCAGAAGTTCGCCATGACCTCCCAAAACTGCTGCAACTCCTGTGCCAGGATCTATAGTAGATACAACCTTGAAAACACTGAAACACTGAAGTCCGCGTCCGTAGGACATCATGAATAACTTTAAATAAAATCAAATACAACGCCCTCTTTTTTTAAGTTGATTATATAATTAACTAGCGACCCGCCCCGGCTTCGCACGGGTGCAATATGTATATACATACAAACCTTCCTTAAGAATCACTCTATCTATTAAAAAAAACCGCATCAAAATCCGTTGCGTAGTTTTAAAGATCTAAGCATACATACGGACATACAGCGAAAGCGACTTTGTTTTATACTATGTATTGATATACTAAAACCTTCTCCTTGGTACAACAAATACTTTTCTGAAAACCGCATCAAAATTGGTTCAGCCAACCGCGAAATAATCGCGTACAGATATATATTTATACAGAGAAATTCCTTTATTTGAGTTGTTTTAAAAGTTGTTGGTAAACATAATTGTCTTTATTCTCTTTACAGGTCTTGAAATTCTGCTGCTGCGTCTAATCAAGAAACTGATACTGAAATACAGTTACAATGAAGACTCAAAAACCACGACAGTGTGAACTATTATTTATTTATTTATTTACACTTCTGGAACATACGATGGTGGACTTAATGCCGAGTGGCATTCTCGAACAGTCAACATTATGACGTCACTTTTAATGAATTAATAGATACTTAATAATAGATAGATAATAATAGATGCTTAAGTAATTATTAGAAAAATAATATGTTATTTTTGTAAGTTATTGATTTTAGCTATTGTACAAAGTTACTTTACATTATTCTACAGGTGTAAGTCGACAATAAATGTGTGTCAACAATTCTTGGGTTTCTTTCAAATGTCCCTGTCTATGACACGGCGTTTCCTCTTCACGATACCTAAATAAAAAGGTATCTCATGGTTGTAAATCAAAGAAAATTCTACAATTTATTTATTTATAAAAATTACAATCTACTGACATAGTGATCTATTAACACGCAGCGCCAACCACTATACAGATCGGGCTGAAAGGTAGATGTTATGACGTAGGCATCCGCTAAGAAAGGATTTTGATGATTTTCCCCCCATGGAGATAAATAAAATAGGGGATGAAAGTTTGTATGAAACTTTGTCAATTTTACACCGATAAGGTTAAAATTCGACGTGCAGGTAGATCAAGTAATAAAGTATTTATTGCATCCATAATGTACATATACAGGTGGTTAGAAAATATAATTATGTAAAAAAGTAACAATTATGGACCCTGTCGGGCACAGCAACATTTAAAATTGGTAGGAGAGAGGAAGGGCATTTTGTTAGATTAATATTAATATACCTAATCAAAAATTAATAGAAAGAAAAAAGTTATTGTAAATCCTGTATTAATATTTTTTTTATTTATTTATTTTAGATGTTATGACGTAGGCATCCCCAAAAAAGGATTTTGAATATTTCCACCCCAATGGGGCAATGTAGGGGGTAAAAGATTGTATGATGCTTTTTCAGTTTTATATCGATCGGGCTGTGACTTTGCATGCATAAAGTTACTATAACATAGGTATCTCCTAAGAAAGGATTTTGATAAATTCCACCCCTATGGGGATAAAATAGGGAATGAGAGTTTGTATAAATCTTCTTAGCCATTTCAAGGGCTTCAAAAAGAAACGAATTCAGAATGATCCATCTAGAATCATTGAATCTTTTTGAATTACATTCGGTAAAACGATGATTTGAGACCTGGGTAACGTACGATAGTTTTTATCACATAAGTCCCACGGGAACGGGAACTATGCGTTAAAGCCCCAGGACTCTCTATCTCTTAACCACTGAACTTATTTTGGAGAAATTCGGTACAACAGTAGACGATAGAATAGTTTTTATTACTCAAACCTACGTGTACGGGCACTGTACTGGTAAGATCCCTGCGTGATTATTTATTTTTTGATACGGTAAATCATTTCACAATAAATCTTACTTGGACACTGAATTGATTCTGATGAATTCTGTGAAAAGTCATTATTCTACGCGGACGAAGTCGCGGGCAACAGCTAGTTATCTATAAATTTGTTATATCTAGAGATCAGTTCTCCATTGTCGCTTGAGGGTCTATGAAGACCTCAGCGACGTGGTTGATGTAGCTGGATGTACCTTCCTGGTACCGGTCCTTGTTCAGCTCGCTTCGGACGAGGAGCACGAGGTACACCTGTAACACTGTTGTAATTGTTTGTTAGGTTAGCGGACTCGATTAGTTAGTTGCGTAGGTAACTTGGGGCTTATACATTTTTTTTTTACGTTTAACGAGTTTCAAACTTTACCGATTGGTTGGTTCGTTTGGAGCAGGCCAATCAGAGCGCCAAACGCAAAAACTCGTACTAAGCCCTCACAGCGAGCCATGGAGGAAAACTTCATTAGCGGCGGTATACACTTTTTTGTAATAGGTAAAAAATGTTAAGCTTGCGTCAGGACACGTGACCCTGTTCGAAAATTCGTAAGACGGATTGACAGCTGGCGTGGCGTAGGACAGGGAGTATCCCCCTCTCTTTCTATGGCGCGGCAAATATGTATGCCTGCGCCGGCTGTTTCATTTGGGCGGCGCAAGGCGCTTGCGCGAACGTTCGTGTGTGTTTATGTGTTTAATTGAATTTTTAAATAATGAATTTGGTTTAACTACCTATGTCAAATGATCGCCATCTTAGCACAACAAATTACAAAACTACTATTGATGCGGTCTTTATAAGACATTTGAAAAGGTTCGAATCAAAACTGTTCGTTTCTCACTTCAGCTATCATAAACCGATCGTATCAGTTTTAGAGATTGGCGATGATGGTTCTGGTAATAATGATAGTGAAAAAGTCGAAATTATGGATGAAAGTTGATTTTTCTATAGGATAAACTTTTTAATGTAATATAAATTGTCATGTTTGTGTATGATATTATATAAATAAATATTGTGTATAAATATTGTATTCTACCACATAAAAGATATTAGATCCGCCAGATCCTCCCAAAATCGTTGCAACACCTTAAAGCTGGGATCTACAGAAGATATAACCATGAAAACACCAAACACTAAAGTCCGAAGCGTCCCAGGGACATGAATATTTGATCTCGCAACGAAATAAATAGGAGATCGACGGGACGGCTGCGTGTGTATCTACATTATCTATTCGTAATATTATGTTTACTGATTATACTGTCGTGGAATACACGTGGGTTTAACCGCAAAAATTATAGTCTACATCTCTATGGAATCATCAGTGATAAACAAACATGACCTTTTTAATTAGATAATAACGCTTCCACTTCCAGCTACCGTCCAGAAATATACGTAAACAAATTGATAATATACGTAAACAAATTGATGATACTCCTACCACTAGTAATTACAATCCGACTTTACTCTCTATATAAGAACTTTACGCCTTCTAATGCCTGAAGAAGTACACAGAGGTCATCGTAAGCAATGTTAAAATCACTTTTAACTTCTTAGGTTTGTTATCTACGAGTCCAATATTATAAGGGCTAAACGTCATGACGTTGAAAGGTCATTTTCAGCATATACCTAAATTAGTTTTAAGTGACAAACGTCAAAGCGTCAGAAAACTTTGAAAAATATGTTATTGTATATTGTCACAAGAATTACAACCAATAGTACCTATGTTGTATATGTATTGTGAAAATAAAGTTAATTCTGATAATGGTTTTTTGATTGTGCATATTTTGTGCATATTTCCCCCTTTTTTAGTGCATATTTGCATGCATATTTTGGCATTTCGATAGTGCATATAATCCGATGTCTACATATTACCATTCACCTGGCATAATTTCATGCTCCAAAATCTCGACCCAAGAGTTCAAAAGGGGCTATTTTGATGTTATTTTTACCTTTCAATAACCAAGTCACCATGACCTAAGTACAACATCGGTCGATTGACAAAAATGGAGAAATTTCATTTATATTACCTTGTGCTTAGATACACTGGCACGAGCCTTTATACACAATTCCAAGTCCACTGTAATATAAACTACTTTTTATTTATTAACTTGGCGGTAAGGAACTCGTATTTTTTTTAATACTTATGTCTAAGAACTAACTTCTTGGTACTAACTAATTAGGCTTAAATTGTAAACATGGATTTCTTCAGTCCTGTCGCTATCGGGAAACACCACAAAAATACAAATAAACACTTAAATAGTTGAGAGATAAACATTACATATCAGTACGTATGTATGTAAATAAGTGGTATGAAAGTATATAAATATAGACCTCTATGTCGATTAATTTAAACAGTAGTGCTAAATACATTACGCGATACGGACGTACTGATCAAGTGAACATAATTATTCATACTAACTATTAAAACTTTTAAGGTATGTAAAAACACTTTCATTTCCAATTCTTGTACATTTTTGCGCGTCTCTCCAAAACGGCTGTAGCGATTCGGAAGAGGTTTTGTATTCGTCTGGTGTCTTATAAGTGATTTATGAATATCTATAAATTAAATCTAAATCATTAACAAGATTAAACAAGATCGATCTTACTAATACTACCTACCAACAACAAATAAAATGTGACTGTTTCCGAGTTACATGTACTTTCTAAGATTATTTAGAACACCACTGACAAACGGTGAAGGAAATGATCGTGAGAAAACCTGGGCTTATAAATTCTGATAATAATTAACGATAATAGTGATTAATGCTCAAACCTTCTCCGTGCGAAAAGAGGCTTTTGGTCAGCAGTGCCACTTATGGCTGTTGATGATAATGATGGTGATATATCGAAAATTAAGTTAACGTTAGTGTGAAAGAAAACATCTTCATCTTTATTTAATCTCTAACTCAACTTATATTTCACTCTACCTACTAAGTAAGGCACGGAAACCATTTCCATTTTTTTAATTCAAATTAATATATCTTTTCAGTTTATCGTCATCATAGTGTCAATTTGAATCTCCACAATGTATTCCCCAAAGCTGAGGCCTCCAATGTCCATCACCAACAAAGCAGGTGCTGAGGACAGCACATTGTTGAGCACAAGACGCTGTTTATTGGCATGGGCATTCGTCAGACTGGTAAGTAAATACTTAACTATATAAATGAATATAATATTAAACCCCATAAGGCAACGAATCTTTAACTCCTATGGCGTTGTCATTATAATCTTCCATAAGACGTCGAGGGGCGAGTATCCATTGACGGTGTTAATTTCATCAGGCAATTCGTTGGCTTGTTTACCTAATATAATTATCATATTAAAAGTGGACACTACAATATAAAAAGTATGAGTGACTCATGTAAACATGTTGAGCAATTAAAAGCGGGACATCGCCGCGCCCGCGTACGCTACTCATGAGGAAGAGTCCCTCTATGACTCGAAACTAGTAAAGCTTTTGACATATCTCACGGTAGTGATTATAAAAACACTACAATATAAGCCTCTGCACCCAAGTCCCGCTTTTATAATTAATAGGAAAACAAGAAAGCGCCGCTATATTGAAGTGAAAATTTATTTAGCGGCGTTGTACACTTTTTTTGTAATAGGTAAAAAATGTTAAACTCGCGTCAGGACACATGCCCCTGTTCGGAAATTCTTAAGACGGATTGACAGCCGGCGTGGCATAGGACAGGGAGTAAATGTATCCCCCTCTCTTTCTACGGCGCGGCGAAAATGTATGTCTGCGCCGGCTGTTTCGTTTAGGCGGCGCAGGGCGCTTGCGCGAATGTTCGTGTGTGTTTATGTGTTTAATTGAATTACAAAACTGCTATTGATGTAGTCTTTATTAGACATTTAAATAAGTTCGAATCAAAACTGTTCGTTTCTTACTTCAGCTATCATAAACCGATCGTATCAGTTTTTGAGATGGCGATGATGGTTCTGGTAATAATGATAGTGAAAAAGTCGTCGAAATTATGGATGGAAGTTGATTTTTCTGAAGGATAAACTTTTTAATGTAATATAAATTGTCATGTTTGTGAACGATAGCACAATAAATAAGAATTGTATTCTAGCACATAAAAGATAGTAGGTACTTTTATTCTGATAATTAAAGCAATTCGCGCAAAATTATGCCATAACCATTCCAAAATATCCAAAACGCACAACGTTAATACTTAAGTTTACACTTCTGCCGGCACTCCCGAAGTGCAACCGGTCGTTTTTTTTTTAATCACGCACCTTTGCTTAGATCCAAATTTGGATTAAAATCAGTTAAAGGTGTCGGTATTTATTCTTCTCTGTCTGTGTTCTAATATTGTAATTATTCATTTTCCAGATAGTTTCCTTGCTATGGACTGGTCTTGTAATATTAGCGACTATCATAACAATACTCCACTACCATGACAAAGATTATGTTAATGACAGACATCGCTTGCTATTCGAAGTTCCTGCTATAGTAGCACAAATGGTTGAAACAGGGATGCTCGTCACTTTCATCGTGGCTGGATTTAAGGTAAACATTCAAAATAATATTCAATTATTGCCTCGGGTTCGAAGCATTACGAGGTTTTTAAAAAAAAATCTCAGTAGTAGCACGGAGGCTGGAATTTTGCCCCGTATATGACAACAGGCTCACCCCCTATTACATGGGACTCATAATATTAATAGTGAAAAGTGCGTGTTACATTGTACAGTGGAATAAAGTGCACCTTTGCCTACCCCTTTGGGGATAAAAGGCATGATGTTATGTTATTTTATGTTATGGACCTAATTACATAGGAGACAAAAGCAATATAATTACACACATCCAGTCATCCATTTAATTAGTGCAAACTTCCTGTCTGTCATACATGTATAACACGAGGATTGTTTACTACACAGGACTCGTAACCGGTAAATATTTATGTTAACATATATTTAAAACATTCTCTACCTCTTTGGGAAACAAAGGCGTACATGACGGTGACATTCATGTTGTGTTAAAGAAAAAGTATTAACGGGCCTGTAGGCTAAAATTGTGACACTCGTGAAAACAATAATTGACTAATAAACATAATTTTAAGTAGATATAGGCTCAATGTAGCTGGCCACTGGCAACTGCCTAAAATGTTGTATTGGTTCGAAGTTTTATGACGCCTGCTTCTCATGCATGAGGGTGCGGGATCGAAACCTACCAACGGCAAGTACCAATGTGACTTTTTGCGAGTCATATGTACTTTCTAAGGTTATTTAGATACCACTGACAAACGATAAATGAAAACATCGTAAGGAAACCAGCAGCTGTTGCCAAATGCTATTTAGCGCTTGTCTACATGTAGAATAGAAAACCAAATTATATGGAATTGACGTAAATTTTGGCCCCTCAAAGAGGGGACTTACCGCTGCAATAGCAGCGAGCCCAGTTATACCAAGCTTAGCAGGCCGTTTAAGTTAAATGTCATCCAAAATTTCAAAGATGCTATAGCCATGTTCATGTCTGGGTCCCAGCAACGCACTTGTAATTTACCTGGTATTATGTGTGTGCATAGGCTGGGTGTAGTTCGCTGACTGCATGCCATGCCATGGAGATCCACTTGCTCATTTACTCTCTGGAAGGCATCAGATATGCTAGAGCTACGTATGGGACTAATATCATCAATTTCTTATTTTCCAGAAAAGTGCAAAGCTGTATGACGTTTACTATCGTTACTGCATCCTGACACTGATGCTGTACATCGGAGCAGTGACCATCAGCTTCTTCGTGGAATACAAACATTCACATTATTTGCTAGAAAACTACATAACCTACCATTTCGTTGATTTTGGCAATGTTTTTGGTATAGCCGATGCATTAGTGCTCGGATCGGTAGCTGTTATTGATGTTTGTAAGTAAAAGAAATACATTACTTTATATTAAACCTAGTATGTAGTAAAGTGAGTATGGGATAGCCATGTTTCAGCACGGAAGGGCCGTGTGAGTAAGGTTACCGAAGGCCCAATCCTCACCTCCTTATGCACAATCTTCATATTATCTATATAAAAACTACTATTAAAAATTCAGATTCATAGTGTAACAAATATTTTTCTGAAAACCACATTAGAATGTGTTCAGCCAACCGCGAAACAATCGCGCACAAATATAATATGTATATTCATACAAAGAAATTCCTTTATTTGAAGTCGTTTAAAAAGTTGTTGGTAAACATAATTGTCTTTATTCTCTTTACAGGTCTTGAAATTCTGCTGCTGCGGCTAATCAAGAAACTGATACTGAAATACAGTTACAATGAAGACTCAAAAACCACGACAGTGTGAACTATTATTTATTTAAACTTCTGTATAAAATACGATGGTGGATAATGTCGCGCGGCATTCTCGAACAGTCAACATTATGACATTACTTTTAATGAATTAATAGATACTTAATAATAGATAGATAATAATAGATACTTAAGTAATTATTAGAAATATAATATGTTAGTTTTGTAGGTTAGGTACTGATTTTAGCTCTTGTACAAAGTTTCTTTACATTATTTTAAAGATGTGTGAATATGTTATGACAATAAATGTGTCTCAACAAATCTTGGATTCCTTCCAAATGTCCCTGTCTTTGACACGGAGTTTCCCCTTCACGATATTTAAATAAAAAGGTAGGTCATGGTTGTATATTGCCAACAGAAAGTTCTACAATTTATTTACTTATAAAAATTACAATTATCTTTAAGTTATATCTGGAGATCAGTTCTCCATTGTCGCCTGAGTGGGGGGTCTATGAAGACCTCAGCGACGTGGTTGATGTAGCTGGATGTACCTTCCTGGTACCGGTCCTTGTTCAGCTCGCTTCGGACGAGGAGCACGAGGTACACCTGTAACACTGTTCAATTGTTCCTTAGGTTAGCGGACTCGATTAATTAGTTGCGTAGATATCTTGGGGCTTATACATTTTTTTTACGTTTAACGAGTTTCAAACTTCACCGATTAGTTGGTTCGTTTGGAGCAGGCCAATCAGAGCGCTTAATGCGGAAAACTAGTGCTAAGCCCTCAGAGCGAGCCACGGAGGACTTAACGGGTTGCTGGGGCTCCGATTTGAAGTACAGGAGTAGGAACGGGGTGGTTTTTAGTCAATAAGATTCTGACACTCCCTCCCGCCTCACCCAGGCAGGAGAAGTCATTCGATGATTTTCTTCCCTAAAAAAAGGGCTGACGGATGTCTATCTCATAAACCCTTGAATTGCCGGAATGTAGATCCAGATCAGTAGTAGGACGGAGTCTGGAATTGTGACCGGTATATGGCAATAGGCTCACCCCCTATTACATGGGACTCATAACATAAATAGTGAAAAGTTGGTGTTACTTCTGTGTGCACCTCTGTCTACCCCCTCGGGGATAATAGGCGTGATGTTATGTAATGTAATGTAATGTAGATCCACGCGAGACACAATGTAATCTCTATTATTTCTTATATACGGTCAGTCAAGAGGTTAACTGTAAAACTCTCTTGTTAGTCAAGTGACTGCAATTGCAGATGCAATTGACAGATTTTATTGCAACTGATTTTATTTCTGATTCCGAGCTAAAGAAAATACTTTTGAGTTACTTTCGGTTTTCCCAAAATTTTCAGTAATAGTACGGTGTCTGAAATTCGGCCTGGTGTATTTAGCATTTCTATTACATGGGCCTCAACATCATTATCGTCATCGATTTAAAGACGTGACGTTGTTGTATATGACACGATATTCGTCTTTTCAATCATCCAATTTGTTCCCTTACGTTTTTGATGTTTTATTTTGGCAAATACTGGCAAATACCTTGATAGTTATATCACTGATATACAAGCAGGGTATGGGCTAAGTCAGCTCAGTGATAGGATACTTTTTATCCCGATTAAATGCTCCCATGGGATAAAACAGGAATAATCTTCTACGCGGGCGAAGTTGCGGGCATTAGCGCATGCGCATACCTACATTCAACTGATACCTGACATCCCTTAACACAGCAGATTATGTCACCGATAAGTACTTATCTCTGAATATTTATTTGTGTATTCCTCTCTATGATGAGTTACGTTAACAACAAGAGCTACCGACGACCTAGCAGACTACCGGATCTCCCGCTCGAAAAAAGAAAAGGAACGGGTGGTTTTTAGTCAGTAAAAGTTTGACACTCCCTCCCACCTCACTTAGTATAGAGAAATCCTTGGATGATTTAACCCCCTTAAAGCTACGTCAACAAGAACTCACCGAATCCAGTAAAAGCCAGAGAGAACTCTGTGAGGATGAAGTTCCACCGCGGGTATCTGTCGAGGTCGATGTATGTGATCAGCACCACTACGAAGGTAGCCACCATCGTCGTCAGCTCATAGTAGTAATAGATTCGCAGTAGACGACGTCTCTTCTGTAAAATGTATATTGTACCGCTTATTACTGCAGCCTTTATTACGGTGCGTCGCGTTCCGCGCGCGCCACAAGGAGCCATCAGACCACCACAGGTGCCCAACAGGGCTGATACCGATACGGAACCGCGAAAAACTTAACGGGTGGCCGGCTCGAAGTGCAAGAGTAGGAACGAGGTGGTCTTTAGTCAGTAAGAGTCTGACACTCCCTCTCTCAATGACTTCACCCGGGCGGGAGAAGTCATTGGATGATTTTGCTCCCCTCAAAAAAAGCCTTGATCTTGTGTACAAAATTCCTATCAATGAAGAAGAGAAAGTAGAATGGGGACTGGCGTACTGAACAGAATTATAGAGGTAGTATTTTGCCTACCAGAAAATTAACTAATGTTAAGGTCAAGCCATTGGATGTTTAATTTTGAGGCAAACAGGGTCATACGCTACGTTTGAACCATTTGCTGGGCTTTTCGATAAACCTCGTTATGTCCGATTATCGTAATGAGTTTGTCCTCTATTAGATGCAATAATATATAAAAAGGTTCCGTATGCTCACTAGATGGCGTAAATGAAGTACAATGTTTGAAAATCCTCGTCTTAAGAATTTTGGTTAACGGTTCTGTATCATAGCCCAAAAATAATTGGGAAGAAAAAATAAGCAGTACTAATGCAATGTTTGGATAAAAAATCAACGTAAAACAAACAAACCATATGAGCACCAACAATGAGGACGATGTGGAACACTATGTCCAGGGAGTATAGTAAGAACACGATGCAAAGTTGTACTTCCATGATCACCCCCCGATACAGAGCCGCGGTGGTCGCCAACGAACTCTTCATGTTGTGGTAGAACACACATAGTACTATCTGCAGGGTCCCGAATAATATTGTCAGGAACTGAAAACAGAGGATGAACAATGAAATATGCTTGTTAATTAAGATTCTATATGAAAACAATAAAAACAGCTAAAATATACAGAGAAATGCTCTACTAGTTTCGAACCACAGAGGGGTTCTTCCTCATGAGCATCGTGCGCGGTCGCGGCAATGTTGCGCACGCTGCTGGAGGATGAGGATGAGGATGAGAAAGAACTACTAAGTATATTCACGTGTGTCACTCGAGATCTTTAGTTAAAAATTACAGCAAATTCATTTAGAAAAGTTGAACGACGAATCATCATGAAATATTAATGTTTTTCTGAGAACTTTCGGTGTGTAATAATGTGATTTGGTGGCAATCTATAATTACAACACAAAGGCGAAGATGAAGTGACTGAACAGGATTCTTGAAATCGTATCAAGTATCAACAAATTAACAAAATAAACATCTTTGTAAGTCTTTTCAGCTTTCCAAGAAATACAGAATCGCATTTATCACGCATACTGAAACCGTACGCTAAATCAGGATAAAATTTAATCAATTAAAAAAATATGCGTAACACTTTATTTTTTTAAAGGTTAGAACAAAGTTTTTTGAATATACCGAAGTAAAAGAAGAGACGGACCAATAAACGTATAGCTTGGTAAATAAGTACTTACCAAGCTTATGTATCCAAATATAAGGATGCCACGTCGTAAAGGCAGACAGCAGCAGCATCGCCTTAGCTCCGGTATTTCTATCAACATTGTCACGATATGCTCACAAACACATACAAATAAACATAGTCCTTTTATAGAATAATGGCGCTACTTCTAAATGCAACGTTGTGGGCCACAGCGCAGAATGGCGACTGAATTAGCTGGACTGATACCAGGGTTGGCAATATTCGTCTATTAATTTTTTTATTTATTTAACTTTATGCAACAAGAGTACATAGGCGGGCTTAATGCCGTGGGAATTCTTACTAGCCAACCTTTAGGTGATGCAGTGAGAGCGTGGTCGGTGCAATAAGTTGACAACTTAAGAGTATCTAATATAATTTATAAAATGACAGAATAATACATACAACGAACTATTGTAAATATAAATGTATTTTTTTTAATGTCTATTAGTGATACTGTTTTATTACTTTTTTGCAACCTTTTGGTTTTGATTGCAAATAATATAGATATTGCACACAAGGATATTTATCATTGAAGGTGTTCTTTAGCAGTTTTTCATTATTTCCTTTTTAATTTCAGGGACTTTTATACCGCACAGCTTTTGTCAGTCCCATCGTAACCTAATAAGTGTATAAAACAAGCTAGAGATCAATGAATCAGAGCCATAAAGTTAAACAACATTCTCGCACTATCAGTTTTTAGCTGTTATATTCAGCTTTTTACGAGAACTATAAATAACGTCACAGAATGATATGACATGTACGTGGCTAGAACTACCAAATAAAGTGGATATAATAACTTTGTTTATCAAATGGCAGAGGCAGGTCTCCACAGAGCGAGTAGCTTCGCGTAGCAAATGCCAGCAGCCTCGCCTGCCTCGCTATGATCCTAAAACCAAAGCGCAATGATGTTGCGTTAGTTTGGAGGCATTTATACAGCATAACTTTGTGTAATCCACAAAATTTCCCTGTCTGAATCTGATATGTATGAAGATGAAGTGAATTTGTATGTCTATAATCGCACCCACAACACACGAGACTATCCTAATGTGGGACCACTACATTTTTATAGATAAAAGTTAAGATTGCCAGCCCTAAGGTATTATTATCTTGTTTAGGCGTCTCGTTGTGGAAGCGAGCCGTGACACGACACTGCAAGCTTGATCGACTCTTCCTTCGCAGATATCGTTGATTTCATTAGTGCAGGAAATTTTGGTTTAGTGCATTCATTCATTATTTATATTTAGAGGTTACACACTCGCTATAGAGTCAGCGAATGTTACTCATATTTTAAAAGAATTAAATGAGTTAATAGGATTATACGCATTACTCACATTATAGTTCGAGGGTACTCGACAAGTTTCGAGCCACAACTTAAACTCATATAGTATTTTGGTTTGATAAGAGATATAAAAAATATAGTGTTTATTCCTGAGCAGCAAACTAGATGGCGCCATAAGTTGATGAATTATTATTTGTACATATTTGACCCATGATTTGGCGTGAGCAAACACATAATATTATTGATAAGCTTACATTAAAGTTTTATGCTTCAGAAGAAATATAAGTTACAAACTTGACTCATGCAATGCAACGCAAGATTAATTTATAAATTAATGAAAACCAAGGAATCTATTCAAAACTCCCTACCAAGCAACATAAAAACAACGACACGTTCAAAAAGATTAATTTCAAAACATCCATTGAAGACTAACACATTAATGTAAAGATACAAGTTCAATATTAAACAGCAATGGATAGCTACAAGATACTATGACAAGTGACAATGAATATAATCTTTAAGTAGCGGAAATATCTTATAAAGGACTGTTGAGAGGATGCAATTTTGGATAAGACTCGCTCGGATCCAGTCAGACACAAGGCTTGATATGAAATGTTTGTAAAGTGTACTAAAAATGAAGAAACTCTGCGATTTCAAGTGTCCTAAGATACCAGTAGTAAGGAAGTGTTGTTTTTGTATTCCTACGTATGTTGGTATAGCTGTTTTTGGATATGCCGATCTTGTAAGTAGATACGTCAAAATTATTTTAATGTTGACAGTAGAACAGTAGAACTTATTACCTTTTAAATAAGATACGATTTCCTTTCGACTTGCTGGCTTAATTTTCTTAAGCCTTATGCTATTAGGTAACCATTAGGTAACTGATTTGGACAGAATGTTCAAACAGGTCACTGTAATTATCAGGTCTAAAAGTGTAGTTACTGAGTAACTGTTTTCATGCTAATTATTATTTAGCACTCGTTAATTCATACAGTTCTTCAGAAAACAAGAATTTCTTTGTAGATTGCTTCATAGGGAATTCATAGCAAATTGTGCCGAATTCTTACTATTTTGCACGAGAATAAGGCAAGTATTATCTGAATAAAAACCTCGTAGTTACACTCAAAATACGCTTCTTCCTCGCCATCATCATCATCAGGTTATAGAGATTCACTGCTATATATAAACCATTTCGGATATTCGAGTATATCTTCCGTATCCATCCAGCACCAGACATCTTCTATTCAAAATCATACGCTTACTGTGCATATTTTTCACAACCATTAGCAACAATTGTAACAGGGCAAAGTTTTCACCTTCCTTTTTTTCATAGATATTAATTTCAACTAATTTAAAGGATTGACCTGATGAATCAAAAGTATAAACATTGCTATATAGTATATTTAACTACTGGATAATTCTATTGGCTGATTCTGAACTACTTATAGAAATGACTATTGATCACACATTATTTTAATGTTCATACTGTTGGTTTTTCCAGACTCTAGCCCTGGTGGCTTTTCCAATGCTGATGTATGAGATGGTGGATGAGCTGACGAGTGACAAGCCTCGAGGAGAGATGCGATATAGTGACCCAGCAGTGCACCTTCCAGTGATAGTAGCTGCAGCATTATCAGACATTGTTCTAACAGTGGTATTGCTAATTGGAGCACATAGGGTGAGTCGAACGCTTTTGACAAGTTACATAGTGCCCTGAGGAACACCTGAACACTGAACAATAATTCAATTAATCTAAACAGTTAAAGGCTAATTAAAAAGGATCTTTAATGTACAGCGTACTATTGGGTGTTACTAACAAATCATAGGTTGAGAAGCAAAATAGCTATGACAGATATGTCAGGCGCTATGAAAACTGCATCAATTTATTATTGAATGGTTTTATTTAACTTGCCTCTTTTCTTTGTTTGGGTCTTAGGTAATTGAAAATTTATATACCCACTGACAACAAATCGATCTAATATTTGGTAAACAGTCTTAGTCTTGATAACCATCTGTACATATTAATAACACTGTAGAAGTGTAAATCTTATACTATTATATAAAGTGGAAGAGTTTGTTTTTTTGTTTGTTTGTTTGAACGCGCTAATCTCCGTAACTACAAATCTGATTTGAATAAATTTTTTTGTGTTGGATAGCGCATTTATCGAGGATGGCTATAGGCTATAAAACATCACGCTACGACCAATAGGAGCTGAGCAGAGCGTGTGAAACCGCTAAGTACCTAGTACATAATAAAACCGTTTAACATAAAAAAATATTAATCATTTATTACTTGTTAGTAAATATTATTTAGTTTACCTCTGCTTTCCATTACAGAAAAATAAATTGCTTCTGAAGATATACTTCTACTTCGCGACGATTTCACAGTTGATGACGTTGCTTGCTGACCTGCCGTTTTACGACTATACAGCACATAGAAAGAATGCTATATACCTATTCTATGTAGGTACGTGCTCATTATAGTTATGCTTCCTATGACAAAAATAATATTTATTAATTGTCTTGTAAATAATAAAATAAAATTGTGTCTTGATGACCGAGCATAGTTCGGTGTCATTTTTTAATAAACGACATTTTCTGAAAAATAAACCTGGCTAGATCGATTTACCGTCCCCGAAAGCCCCTAGATACAAAATTTTAAGCAAATCGTTGAAACTATTTCAGAGGTTGTCGGTGCATATATACAAGAATTGCTTGTTTAAAGGTATTAGATGAGATAAGCATTCGCTTAGATTGGCGAATTTCAATTTCGAAATACTCTACAAATTTGTTTGCTCAGTAAATTAATCTGAATATAAATAGCCCATACAAGTCACTGGTGAATTCGGGCCTCGACTACATCGATTAAGAGTCTACACCTCTACGTTAAATAACACATAACATAACATAACATCACGCCTTTTATCCCCGAAGGGGTAGGCAGAGTCACTATTTATGTTATGAGTCCCATGTACTAGGGGGTGAGCCTATTACCATATACCGGGCATGTTTCCAGACTCCGTGCTAGTACTGAGATTTTTTTAAAAAGCGCAGTAATTCTTTGTTCGACCCGGGAATCGAACCCGAGACCCCTTGCCCGGCAGTCGCACTTGCAATCACTCGGCCAACAAGGCAGTCATTAAATAACTTGGTTGGGAAAAGTTCATCTTTATATGAAAGCGCTGCTGCCCAGTCTCTGTTAAATGTGTAGTTCCTTATCAAGCTGAAAGAAAATTTGAAATATCTGATAATGCCGATTTATCTTACTTTTTCAGGGCTGAACATCTACCTGCTGTTTCTGGTTCACAACGTGGTCTACGTGAGAGAGGACAAGAGAGACATTCAGTACATTGCATATGACCAGCATCAGGTCACTGTTTAGCTCCAAGAACAGGATGACGATACGAGGAATTCAACTGTGTACATAAATTAATGTTAATAATAAAATGTTATGATGCGTCTAGATTTTGCTGCATAGATGCATCATAATCGCCAGATCGTGTACGAGTTTGTTTCAACATTACCCCAGGGTCCAACATATTGCAATGATAGCTTTAGGTACAAGACTAAGGCCGCGGATTGGAATTTTTTTAGTTCATTGTTTGCATCTCAAGCCAAAGATTTCACCCGCAGAGATCTCTCGGCCGAGGAGGGTGCTGAAATCATGTCAGATGCCTTTACTTACTGTGCCGACATAGCTTTTGGTCGCGGGTCCTTGACAAGTACGCGTAGATGCGACTGATGGAATAACTGTCTAGTCGAACAACGTAAATGCTTTCGTAAAGCGCGCAAACAGTTAAATAGACTAAAGAAACGTAAGGTAACCGGTACCGTTTTTGATGAAGCACTGATTGCGTTTAGAGTTGCCAGGTCACGCTATAGGGCTTCGGTGGAGAAAGCCAAGGGTGATTTGCTACGGAGGGTTGTACAAAAATTAGATAATCTGTGTTTTTTTATTAATTTATATTTTAAAAGGTATCATGCTGCGTCAAATAAATGCTTCATTTCTTTAATCTGGTCATCATGGCAAAACAATTATGATTGTTAAGGAGGAGGAGGATCGCTTGAGGGTAATGATGCCCAAGCCGCTGTAGAAGACACTCTGGGACTCGCGGAGTACACGCTGATCTCCGTACACCGCAAACGAACGCATCACGTCCTGCGCAAGCGTACGGCACGTCTTGCGCGCCATGTAGTCTCGTAGAGCCGTGAGCCATTAAGCAACTACAGACAGGGTCCACTATAGTCGATGCTCAGGCAGAGGTGCAAATAAAATCGCGTATACTGTACGCGCATTTTACTAAACAAATAAAGATGGAAATTTAAAATAATAGCCCCGTAGGCGGGGATTGAACGTAGCAAAAGCAATACCAACTTCTAACTAGCTACGCGGAGATTCTCTTCAGTTCTCTGATACCAGTCGCAACAAACGCGCGCGCGCGCACTTTCATTTGCATCACAATGACAACGTCTATCGATACTATTAGTTTAAAGTAAGTGAAGATTTGCCGTGTGTTATGTCTGTCCTTTATTGTCATTGTTGTCTCTCTTATTTCTTCGTTAGAAACACCGTATAAAATTATCTTATTTATTTAATCGGAATTATTATAGTTTTAATCGATGTTTGTGGTAACTATTCGGATTCTGTGAGTGTAATTGCTGATATCGTAAGTACAATATTGGATTGAATGTTAAACGTTTGTAAAAAATAATTGTGAGGTCGGCCTACTCGTGTTAATAGTTTTTAATTTAATTTTTTTAACGAAACAAATTATTTTCTTATGATTTTTACCCAAAAACAATTCATTTATTCAAATAAAAAACTTAAATTAAAAACTAACTATTACTTAAAAAAAATTAAAACTAAATATTACTAAATTAAATACCTATATACAACTAAAGATTAAAATTAATTATAAGAAAAAACAAAAACAACTACTTACATAAAGCGTCGAAAAATTCGTCCGCATCGACGTCAGTGGGGAAAGTACCCAGAAGGCTGGCAGCATTGCCACGTTGTATGGCAATGCTTAACCTCTGACCGAGAAAAAGACCAGCCCTCTGGTCACGAGATGTGTCAACCAGGCGTTTTGAAATGTTTTGGAATAATTTAAGTGCACTCGGACCCCACGGACCTAGCGTCTCAACCCCAAACGGCTCAAAGATATAACTACCAGCAAGGTTGTTATACTTGCGCCGCTTGAGGCTTTCTGCAGAGGCAGCAGCCGAACCAGCACAACCCGCCGTTACGTTTTTACCCAAGAAAATAAGAAAACAAAACGTAAACATTTTGGTACAATAGAAAGTACCTACATACTTTTCGGGATAAAAAGTAGCCAGTGATTCAACGTAATTGGACTGATAGTTTTTGCGTGATACGTAATCATACAGACGGACGAAGTGTATTTAGCCACACTTTTGGCTTCGGTGCCTGTCTAGTCATACCCAGAATATTTACAATGCACAGAATTTACACTTTTGCAGTTATTTTTAATTTTTATAGATATACATAAACAAAACATATAGACTAAATAATAACTATGGCTAAAATATTTACAACTAAAAATTAAATTAATACTATATAGTACCTACGTAAATACGAGAAAATAATGGAATAAAAGGAAAAAGCATAAAACTGTGGCGACACAAGTCAACGGATGACGTCATAAAATCCTACATCGCACATGCGAAGTTTACATTCGATTTAACACGGATAGAAAATCCCAACGAACAACTTTCGGGCAGAAAGCCCGCCAGGCACGATCACCTCGCCTGGTCGGAGGATCCTCCTTTTCCGATCTTAGGGAACTATACTCTCTGTTCCCTAAAAAACCATAACTTTTTAAACGCAATTACCTGACTTTTTTTACATAGAATGAGTCTTGCAAATCTTACCTACTAATGTAATACAGTTTACATAACACGATGCACAATCTGTTGCATGCACAGACATCATTACGATGATTGGATACAATCATCACAACACCGCAACAAGTCTAGATTACCTAGATTCAAGTCATAAAAGTCTAGGTTTTCTCAATAAGAAGACATCGCACGTCAAGGTATGCCAGAGAAGTACTCTACTTTATTTATAATGAATTATCCAACGCAAAAATAATTATGAAATTCGAATCGGTAATTCCAGGGCCGGCGTTAGGGGGGGGGGGGGGGGGGCGTGATGGGGCGATGGCCCAGGTCTGAAGTTGGAGTCTCTTGCCTCTCTGGTGCGAACCCTTAGAACAAAGTAAAAAAAATGTGCGAGAAATTCAAATTTGAAAAAAATTGTGAATGACAAAAAAAAGTCAAAAGGAATAAAAATATTTTAAAAAAATTAAAAAATAATGTAAAACAAAATAAATAAACATAAAATGTAAAAAAGTTTAAAAAAAGAAAATGTAAAAAAAATGTATATACAAACCTATATAGATATATGAAAAAGCGGAGCTACAAAACTTTCCACGTTCGCGTCGTTAGCTCCGGGTAACGCTATAGGAAAGATGAAATTCTTAATATAATTTCACTTGGGATCAGCAAAAAACTAACCCAGTGGGCTCCACAATATTTTCGCCCGGGGTGTCAGTGGTCCTTACTCCCGGCACTGAGAAAGTTTCCAAGACTAGTACGCTTAAAGAAAGAAAGTCTTTCTTTCTTGTACTCGCATATTGACTAATGACTAACTAATCGCCCACGATTTGAGCATCTGCTGAGCTTCTATTGGTCGTAGTATAATATCTAATAATAGCATATAGCACTCCCCGGTAAATGGACTAACCAATACCAATAGATTTATTCAAATAGAAACAAGGGTTCTGAAGATATGCGCCTTCAAACCTTCAAACTCTTTAGATTTACAAAATTAGCATAAATATGTTTAGAAAAGTAATATTAAAGTGTTTTAAATAAAATGAAAATTACTGTTTAACTAAAAATAACGGTTTAATGACGTAAATATTACTGAGAAAAGCTCTACTAATATCGCGACACGCTCACAGACCGACTTTTCCTCAAGAGCAGACGCGGCGACACTACCCACTACAGCGCCTACCATTATTTTTGGTTTATTCAGTACTAGAGACCTATCCCACTTGTTATACTACTAGTAACAGTGACTGCCTCGTTGGCCGAGTGGTCGCAAGTGTGACTGCCGGGCAAGGGGTCTCGGGTGCGATTCCCGGGTCGGGCAAAGTATTACTGGGTTTTTAAAAATTTCAGTAGTAGCACGGAGTTGTGCCCGGTATATGGCAATAGGCTCACCCCCTATTATATGGGACTCATAACATAAATAGTGAAAAGTAAGTGTTACATTGTACAGTGGCATTAAGTGCCATAATGTGCACCTCTGCTTACCACTTCTGGAGCTCTACTAGTTTCGAGCCACTTACGAGAGTAACCCGCGATTTTTAGGTAATAAATCAATGTTGCTTCTTTGAACATTTGCTATTTTGTAGTTATTAGTGTTAACCACAGACAAAAAAATATTCCAATGAACGATAGGCCTCTTTAGAGAAATACTAGCTGTTACCCGCAACTTCGTCCGCGTAAAATTATGACTTTAGTTGAAATTGGGTTTTTGAATTAGTCTTTGCCAAGGTATTTCTACGGCTATACGACTGTAATACCTCTAAATGTCATCACAATTGATTCAAAGTACTTAGGTCATTTATTCAAATAAGAAACTGAAATTAAAAACTACCTATTACTTAAAAAAAATTAAATCTAAATATTACTCAATTAAATATATACAACTTAAGATTAAAATTAATTATAAGAAAAAACAAAAACAACTATTTACATAAAGCGTCGAAAAATTCGTCCGCATCGACGTCAGTGGGGAAAGTAATTAGGTTATATTTATCGCAAATGAATTTATTTTCCAAGTTTTAAAAATGAACATGACAGCGGTTTTACCCGTCTCGTGACTACTCGTGAGGTGTCAGGTGGGTGTCAGTGATAAAAACTACATATTCTATGTTTGTAAATCAATATTGTACCGAATTTCAATCCAATAGATATACAAGGTGTTGTTTTAAAGCCGCGTCATTTTCTAGGAGGTAACTCGGATATCGATTTTGAGTCCGAATCAATAAAAAAAATTGTAGGTAAATATTTTTAATTTTTCTGAAATCACGGAAATCTGTAAGTGCGAAGTATACGCTGCCGTCTTGTAACTAGTTTTATAACGCGGCTTAACACACATAAACTCAAACACGTAGTTGATATTATTCCTAATTCCATAAAACTTCAATAAAAAACATTGCTGTCGCTTATTCTAAAATACTGTCGAACTTAAACGATTTATTATAGCCATATTTTTAACTATTGGCCCGAAATTTTCTCTTACGTTGAACCTTTATGACTTCTGTGACATGCCCCCGAGAAATGCAACGGTTTCAAATCTACACCTTGTAGTAATTTAAAAGACACAGAGTGTCGAGATTTTAACGCATGGATTCCGATCTCGTAGGATTTTCGGATTGAAAACTTTTAGATGTCCTTTCCCGGGTTTCAAACTATTGCTGTACGTAATTTCACCAAATTCGATGGTTTAAAAGGTAAGAGACCCCCTTTTTTCAACGATCTTTGACCCGGAATTTTGACGCATAGTTCCCGTTCTTCTGGGATTTCCAGGAGCATCATCAGCATCTTCAACAATCTATAAGGGCCACTGCTGGCCAGAGGCCTCTTCTCACATGGAGAAGGTTTGGCATTAATTACCACTCTTGCTCAATGCGGGTTGGCGATTTCAAACTTATAGAAATATGGTCATGGTTCAAGGACTCTTTAAAAAATAAATAGCCAGTTAAATAAAAATAACGATTAAAACCCATAAAAAGCCGATAGATTAATTTGCTTCTCAGAAAATTAATAACGATGTTTATTAATAAGATTGCTATTACTAAATCTACTACAAAATAAAAAAAACTCTTCATATGATAATCTACTTTATGTTACATAATAGTAGGTAGTATAAAAATAAAATGACGTTTCTTACGGCTTTCCTCTATCCGATCCTATCTATTACTAGATCTATTGCGCATTTGATTTTGATGTGGTTTTTTTAATAGATAGATCTCTAATAGATTCAAGAGGAAGATTTATAATTATGTGTAAATTAATTATAATAACATCCTTACCACACTTACGAAGTGGCAGCGGAAAACTAGTCTATAAAACCGCAAAACTTAACGGAATATCAGGGCTCCGCCTGACTGGAAACAGAAGTAGGAACGGGGTGGTTTTTAATCCATCATCTCTTCTCTTCTCATCTAGTTCATGGTATCTTCAAACCTCAAAAAATACAAGTTAGATATGCCGATGTGTAACTACTATAAAAAGCCGTAAATCTTTTATCGAACGTCTTTAATGGCATTAATTTAGCGGATAAATTGAAATGGCAAAAAATGGCCTCTAAAAATTTGGTTAATTAAAACCTTATCCTCTGCTTATTGAGTTCATTTTGAAATTTAGATTAGTTTATAGAAATAATGTAAAT